AGTTCATTTGCAAAATTAGTATGAAAGATCTTATCTTGCTCGCACGTAGGAAATGTCCAAATGCAGTTTTCATGGAATGAAGAAAGAAGAGGCTTAATGCCGAAGAGGCCCCCACTTAATTGTGGCTCAAGAGGGCAACTACAGGCTATTGAGTTATTTTCAAAGGTTCAACAGCAAGTTTGAACCTTTAGAGAATAGCTCTCTAGTCATATTTTATATTTTATTGTTTTACTTTTTTGCTCGTCATTAATTTCTAGTTGTAATTGGAGATGATGGACCATTCCATCTCCTTGGGACACCAAATGCGTGTCTATATCGTCAAAAAGATGCATACGTGTTTAGTTAGTTTCTTGTCAAAATATTTAAATTTCCTTTTTATTACATTTTGAAACATAATTATCGTCTTTTTAATATTAAAGTAATCTCTCTTTTTTTTTTTCGTCTTTAAGATTTTTCACTTTGATCGCAATCGTATTATATTAAATTTGTAATTTTTTCTTTTCTATATAATGCAGTTTAAAAAAGTATTAGTTATAATAATTAATAGTTATTATTTTCTCTAGTAAATTTTTATTGTTTTGTAAATGTCAAATCACGCGTTTAAATTCAATTTTATTGCAACTTTAAATAGAGCTTTTATAAAAAGTAAATAGGGAATTCAATTTGAAAAGTGCATCTGCTATTTGGACGATTTATATGTCAGGCTATTGTATCTCACTTGATTCTATAATTAATATAGTTTTCTTTTTGTTACAGGTGATCATCGTTGGATTTAACAACAAACCTTTGGGATCTTTTACTATTTTAATTCTTAAAATTGTTTCATTTTGAATATATGTATGTATAATGGCATTTCTGAAGGCACACACAAATTTTTTCAATTTGACAATTGAATATAATTATTTAATATTCTATTACAGTATAACTATACTATATATTCTATTACAGGATACATCATATAATATCATATTCTATCATAGAATATTATATTGTACCATCATCGCGTTAATTATCTACTATTGTTCACTTTTGGTAAGTGTATTACTAAGAATAATAACTAAAATGAATCTGGTTAGGTAAAATGTTAACTTGTGAGCTTTTATGTACTTCGGTATTCCTTGTTGATAATGAAATATCTACTATACCTACGTATAAAATTGAAATTATCGATCGTACGCTGTTACTGATACACGATAAAAGAATTTGTTGTAACAAGGAACGAAACATTTACCATCGTAGTTAGAGATTTTGTTAAAAGTCGTAGTATGGTGTAGTCTATCTAAAATAATGTTGAGCGCAGGATCCGGAATTACACGATTGTCCTATGGGTCGTCATTCGACAGGAGTTTAGTCGGTGCCGGTCCCGAAACGCGTTCACGTCTGGGTATCCTGCGGGACGTGAAAATTTTAAGATGGCAAGGGAGGATATGTACATTTGATAGGGCGGTCCATTAGTGGGGGAAACAAAGGGGAAAAAAACAAAAACATAAATAAGATATTCGAGAAGCTTTAGGCTTTTTAGTGAACGAATAAAATAGAAAAAAACGGAAGAAGAAGAAGTTTAGATACGCGGGATAATGAACGATCCAGAGAGAGAGAGAAAAGAACGGTTCTGCTTGAATGGAACCTTTAGATTAGTCTAATTGCAGATCCAAATTCTTGGTGTCTCCTAATAATCGCTTTTATAATCGTGTTATTATCAGTATTATTATTTAATCGATCATAATCGGAATCATAATCGGAATCATCGAGATGATAAAACCACATAGAACGTTCGAATAATCTTTTTATATATTCTTTCCAGCCATTTTATCTCGTTCTTTTTCATTCGTTCGTTCTCTTACTCATTCTCATTCTCTTTCTCTCTCTTTTTCATCGGCTTATGAATCGTTCCTGTTGAAGAGGGAAGAACATTTTAGACATCCTCGATGACACCTCCGCGACGAATGTTATTACGTGATAAAGGTGAGTAAAGCATTAAAACAACGTCGCGCGTCTTTTGATTTTCTACTCTTGTATCACTAAGTATCTTTTACCTTTATCACGAATCGGACAATCACTATTTTCATCAATTTTATAAATGTCTATCGCTATTATAGATATAAAATCGATCTCAGACACACCCGCCGGTTGATATGTTTGACCATTTTACGAAACGGTAGTTACGTACGTGCATTTATGTATACTATAGTTCTTATAATCTCGTTATCTATCCGTTAAGATACATCGAGATAGCGTTTATGGTATATTATCAAAGCTTACTACAGAGAATAGAGACATATATCTATCCAGGGTAGTTCATTCTTTTCAATTATCATTTAAAAAAAAGAGATAATATTAAATAAAGATTATAATTAAATCGCTTGCTTCATACCTGGTTTTTTAATATCTTTGCATTTGCTTGGGATCACCATTAGGCGTCTTATCAGAACCTTTCTCTCTCTCTCTCTCTCTGTTTAATTTGACGACCATGTACGACTAATTCAAACGGAATAGACCAATGAGAATAATTTACGAATTCTCGGTTGTTGAAGCTAGGTCCGTTACAGAATCATAAGCATAACGGGGCATATGTATGCATGTGTACACCTAGTAACGATGATTTATCGTTCTACCTGCGATTATTATACCTAGTACGACGTGTAATAATTCGATAAAATTAATATGATTACATTTGAAAATATTATAAATTAATTATTGTTTTATACATTAAATTCTCTATTTATGATTATGCGTTCACGTAATTGTCAATTAACGTTTACCTGTCAGTTATTAAGAATTCATTTGAAATTCATATCGTGTTCTAGGTGACGAAGTAATGTTATTGATAGACTCTTATCAAACTTCGGCGTCTTTGATCTTCAGACTAGATAGACTCTAATGATTACATTCGAGTCGTTGGCACGATCGCGAAATTGAACCTCTTGTATTCTCTCTCATGATATTCTTAGTAAATTCTACCTTTAGTAACTTTGCTTCCCTTTTCTCTCAGCTTTAATAAGTTTCTCTCAAACGAAGATGATGAAATCTTACTTGCGCTAAATTCCAATTCACAAAGTTATAGATACCCTATACTAATATATTTCGTATATATATTTATGCAATGAAAAGGTTCAAACGTTTAAAGGCATCCTAGTGTTAAAGCATAGATCGAGAAAGTGTTAAGGGACTTTTTTTTTCTTTATTTCCTCTCTCCTTTCTTTCTTTCTTCCTTCCTTCTTTTCCTACCTACTTTAATCTCGTTCATTTTAAACTCTTAGAAAGAATTACGTTTTACGATGAAAATTCTCAACATTTTCCACTTTCCTATTCCTTTCCTTCGCACTTTCCTACCCTAAGCGAAAGATAAATGCGTATGCATAATTAATGAAATATTTCGAATACGAACAACCTATATACATATATACATAAGCATTAACATTTAAGATATTTCGAGGAAAAAAAAACTTCTAAATTCTAAACGTTTTTTTTTCTTTTAATCCAAAATATGTATTCTCTCTCTTTCTCCTCTCTCTTTGTGGAAGTTTTTACAAGATTTGTTAATAATTTCTCGGTGAGTTGGAAGTTCATAGATTATTTTCAAAATTAATTATTATTGTAGAAAATTTGTTAGACTTATATTTTCAATTTGTAGCGTTACAAGTAAAGCTTGCAATTTTACTATATGTAAACAAGATTATCTTGAAAAGTTTGATAATTTAAGAAATTAATATTTTTTTTTTCTAAACTTTTAGCCTTTTTTATATGTACATTTTGTATTTATATTATTTAAAACATTGTATAAAACAAAATTCCTTGGAGAGAGGGGACAGTGCAGGATGAATTTATGCATGGGTTATTATTCTTTCGTGGAGACATTGAATTTAACCAGGACACATATCAAAGAGCTACATCAACGTTGTTCTTTGAACATTGAAGAAATACTTGGAATATACGGATATCATATTTTGTATTATTTTTATTTTTTTATTATTTTTTTGTCTATTCCCCTTTCTTATTTGTTCTTTTTTTTTCTTTTTTTTTTTTTTTTAGTAACTTTTATATCGAAGGAAATACGCGAAAAGAATTTTTTTCCTCTTTCTTGTACGATCTTTTTCTTAGGACTTTATTCTTACTCCTTTATCTTTTGTTGTAGCTCTCAGATTAGGGCAAATGTTCCTCCTCTCCTCTCCTCTATTTTACCATTTCAACGGTCGTCGTCTTTTCTTCCTTTTCCTTTTCCTATTTTTTCTTTTTCCTTCTCGAGGACGAGCCTTACTTTATTCGAGTGGAATTTTCTAAACTAGATGTAATAGTGGTACCATGTTTTATGCTTTCATACAAAAGTCTATATATAAATATATATTTAATTTATATATTTTTATGTTTAAACTGAGTTATAGTATATAAGAAACTACAATAATTCTTTAAATGTCAACAACCAAATTTCAAATAATATTAATTATATTACTGATCATATAATTGAAAGATGTGATTTTAACTAAGTCATTGCTATTTGTTTTTTGTTTAAATCTTTCTCTCTTTCTTTCTCTATTGCTTTCTCAAAATTCTTAAACAAACGAACAATGTAGAACGCGAAAGGCTAAAAGCTTTTCTCGTAATAACGCAAGTGGAATTCTTGCTTGTAGTTCCTTGACCCTCGAAACACCGCTCGTGAGATATTCAAACTATTCTCGCGAGTATTCGTCTCACGTATACACAAGTAACACACACGGCAGGTACACTTTCTTTGTTTGTTAACAACGTTTGTGAACGACGATATGATGCTCTTCTCGCTTTTAATGACTCTTTCTCTTTCTCTCTCTTTATACAAAAAAAATTTATATATATAAATAAAAGTACACGTAGTTGAATACTCTTCTATAGAAGTATAATCGAAAAAAATTAAAAAAATACAAAACAATATTTTCTATAATAAAAAAAAAAGAAAAAGGAGTAAAAATATTCATTGGTTACGTGAATTGATAAAAAGTTACGTTTTTGAACAATTCTCCAATAACTTGTAATTAATTTGTTTGTTTGTTTTTTCGTATTAAAATAAAAAATAATCGCCACTGTTTTTTTTTACCTCTATGTGTATTTATATAATATTTTTAAATAATGACTTTTTTGTTTCCCCTCCGTGATGCATTTTTGTTGGATGTAACTTTTTATAACGATAAAGAGAGAGAGAGAGAGTGAGACAAAATTATCGACGGAATTTTTTTCCCGCAACTTATTTTTCTTTTCTTTTTTTTCTGCGTTACCTTGTAAATGGAGAGCTAGAGCGAGCAGATTCGTAATGGCGGCCGCTTTTTATTATACTACCTCGTAGAAGCAAAAGGGGTGGAAAGCTTTATCTTCGAGTGATGTACGATCGCGTCCGTGCAGAGAATATCTTGTCGGAGGTTAGACGGGAGACGGGGAGGAAAGAAATTATGATTTCGTTTTGAATTATCGTACTCAAGTACCATCAACGACATTTGCAGAGTAAAATGTTTTCTCTCTTCCCATTTTTTTTTCTATTTTATTTTTTATTTGTTATTTCCCCCTCTTTTTCCTCTCGTATTTGTATCGTTTATATATCGATCACATAAGAACGTGTTACATATGCGAATAATAAAACACACGAGAGGATGGAATACATACGTTTGAATAATTTTTGTTACAGTATAGTTCGCGATAAAATTAGTTATGCATCTATGCACGTGGCCGATTGTACATGTGTGTGTATATGCATACTGGTTCAATGAACTTCAAAGGACTATACTAGGCATATTTTTATTTTTTGTTTGTTTATTTATACAAGATAATTCGTGAAATTAAAAGAGTATACACGGATGATAAAAAAATGAAACTACGTAAGCATGTTTTAATTTCATATCATACATTACTTTTAATACCGTCATTAATCTAAAATGGAATCATCCTGTAAAAAGCACGTATTCGTTTCGGTAGAAGGTAAAAATGCTTACGCAATGGAAACTCTTGTTTTAGAAAAGTCAAAGATAAAATCTCTTTGCTTTAGAGGTATTCGAAAAGGGAAAGAGAGAAAGAGAGAATAAATTCGAGTTCCGAAAGTCATCGATCGGCAAAACGCGTTTCAATGTTTAGGGAACCCCTTGTCGGTGTCTGCCGAACGATCGATCCATCGGACGTACATATAAAAAAAAAAGAAAAAAAGAAAGAAAAAAATAAAAAGAGAGCTTTCGAGCGTAGCAGTTAGCACGAGGAGGATGAGAGAACGTGTTCGTATCAGGGTCCAGTGCCGATCGTAAAAGCTACCATCTACCACCACCATCACCTCAACTCCCACCATTTTCATCCTCACTTTTAACATCTCTTTCTTTTTATTTTTCTTCTTTCACTGTGTTACTTTTTTCACATTTTTTTTTTTATTACATCTTTGATAGACGCGTGTACTACTTGAAATAGAAGGGATGATTCCCTTCTTCTTCCTGTCGTTTTCATATTCATAAAAAGAAATAAAAAACCAAGAAGAAAATCTTTTGCTACGTTTTAGAAAAAAAACAAGAACAAATTATTTTCCTTTAACACTTCACACACTAAATAATTGTAAAAATATGATGGTGCAAGAGATAATTAATAAGTTTTAAAAAGTGAGATCATATTATAAACATTGAGACGTTTAATAAAGCTTATGATTAATTTACTTTTTACGGGATTTACGATGTATAAATTAGGTGTTCCAAAGTATTTTAACAATGCGCTTAGAGCAAATGTATACAAATAAATACGTAGATATCCATCTATGTATTATTTATATGCATATAGTTAGTACATAAAGCACATAAAGATAGAAATTGCTGACTGTGAATAGAGGGTGAGAAAACTTATGTATATGTATTTACGCGTACGTGTAAATGTCGGAAAAATGGGAAATATTACTCCTGCCACGTGAACCTTTTGCGGGGACGTTCGAAGAACCATATCCGCATTATTCCATGTCAATTTGTATCCCGCATTTTATCTCGTGCCGTTTTACCTCTACATCAGAATATTCCGAATAAAAGCTTCGTACCGAGCTTTTTTTCCAACCGGTGAAAATAAATGCAACTAGCGTTGGTGCACAATTATCTATCTACGTATATGTTTAGAAAATAGACATTTGCATATTATGTACAACTATACGAGCTATATATATATCTACGAAATACTTTGCAACATCTTGTAGAATAAAAATTAAATAACAAATATCATACTTTTTTTTTTGATTGCACTCGTACATATTCTTAGATTCTCTTGATATTTGTTCAACACATACAAATGGGATTGTATTAAGCTTATTTACGAAGAATAATGAAACCATTTCTCCAATTGGGTTTTTTAGGAGAGAGCAAAAGAACGTGGTTCGTCTCGTCTTAAGGAAGATCAGAAGGAGAAGTAAATATGGGAAAGGGCGATAAAAGGGGAATAGCACAGCGCAGCGACGGTGAGTCCACCTGAGAAACGGTATATATACCACCACAACTAACTTTTTCCTAAAAGGTATCCCTTTTTTTCCCTTTGTCCCCTCAACTCCTTCTCATCTTATTCGTTTCTTTTTTTCATATATATTTTGTTGTTGTTGTTGTTGTTTGGCAAAAACTTTTGGACAATTCTATATATTATACATTTCATATTAATTAGTAAAATGATTTATTGAAGGGAATATTTTCAAAGTATTATGTAATGCATGTAAAACACGAATGAATTTATATTTGTAAATTAATTCGACGACGACGACGACGACGACGACGAATTTGTGTGATCATTAATGAGCGTTAAAAAATGAAATCCTATTAATTAAACAGATGTAGGAATTGATGAGAATATTTGTTTATTGTCACCATCTCTGTCATTGGCAGATAATTTTTTTCCCCTATGCATAATCCAATGAAACTGGATAAGAGTTGGCAATTAGTGTAATTGACAGTGTGTGTATTCTCTTTTATTATTTCTTTTATTTCTTTCTTTTATATTATTTATTTTCCATTCGTCGGTGGTGTTCATTCGCGTATCGTAACCGCGGAACAATTTAGTCTAGAGTTTTTTTCTTTTTTTATTAATCGAACAAACTCAATGGATATTGTCCTTTTAAACCTTTACAACTCAATACTTTTTATTGTATCGATAAACAAATTATTATATAACGTCAAATGCATAATATTACTTGTACTAAATGTATGAGTGGAAAAGTTTGTGTTTAAAAGAAAAAGATAAAAGAAAAACCCAAAGTTTTTCAAAACTTTTCAACCCACCGAAATGGTTAAAAAATAATAAAAAAGAGAGAAATTAAGAAGAAGATGGTAGGAAACGTATATCGAAGGAAGTATCGAAGAGATAAAACAATAGCTTTCAAGATTCTTCGAGTAGCGTTGTTGCACCTGTCTCGTGAAAACATTTCCCATCCTTTCTATTTTACAGAATACACATTGGTGTCCTATTTCTCCCATAGAATTTATCTATGTTTCTCCTTTGGAAAGCAATACAATATTGGATTTCGTATGTATGCTTCGAGATGTCTCCTAAGACATTTCTAACGTTTGTAATCAAGATCATGTGTCATTTATATGTCATCCAACCCATTATCTGATTTGCCAAACGTCTAATGTTTTAGTTTTCTTCTTTCTTTTGGCTTTGCTTTACGTTTTTCTACAATATTACATTTATCGATTTCGATTCGTATTTTCTTTTTTCCTTGCACTGTTTCCTTTTCGTGCACACTAAGAACTGCGAGATAGTAAAGAACTTGGTCAAAAATGATTGAAGCATTACCGCCGTCAAATGATTAGGTACGTGAATAGGTAAGGATCGTATTTGCTTTTAGAAAACCACGAAAAGTGGTACGTGATCGTTCAGTTGGACCATCAGTTGGAAGGATGCATTTTCGGATGTATGTACAATGTGGCTGATTGGAACGGGAAACGTTAGCAAGCTCTTAAACTTTGAATGGCCCTCGTTATCGACGGTGACGGTGACGGTGACGGTGACGGTGACGAACGGAAATAAAAGAAGAAGTGATAAATAGAATCGGAACGAGCTTTGAAACTTTACCTGGACACCCGGAACTTTCTAATATTTTTTTTTATTCTTCACTCACCACTTTTTCTTTATTTTTTCTCTTTATCTTTTACAGTTCTTGAAAGCTTCGGTAAAAAAGAAACAAAAAAAGGGAAACTTTAGTAACTTCTTTCTCATAAGATTACTCAGGATTCGTAATCACTCGGAAAAAGACTGTGATTTTCTTTTTAATTGTTTTGCAAAAGTGATAGGATAGTATCTTCCTTCGATAAATCATTGGAGATATAAGATTTTAGATAATTATACAATTGTTTAGAAGATATATTTATATCTTTTCTTTTTTTTATGATGTCAATAATCGTAATAAATCCCGATTAAAGTTTTTATCATGAAAATGATCGGACAATTTGAGAAATCCATTTATTACATATGTTACATATATAAATATTTGTTATATATTACACTGAATCGAGTCACATTATCTATATCACATATAAGGAAGCTGCAGAGATATAGTTTATCGTCTACATACAAAAACAAAAATTACAAGACTTAGGGTTAGTTCTAAAAAAAAAAAAACGTTCAGCGTAATGTGATACATTATCGTTGCACGTATCGTTAATATTATTTTGTTTATTTATTAATAGAATTTATTTATAATATGTATATATATATATATATATATATATATATATATATATATATATATATATATATATATATATATATATATTAAAATATATTAGACTATACGTACATCTAATTATTAATCGCGTCAATATATAACAATTTGACCGCGAGTCAAATACTAATCGATCGCTCATGCGTTCGCGTTAATTGCATATCCAAAAAAAAATAATATCTGTCCTAAGCTGATTATCTGTATTCGCAGTGTAAAGAGTAAAGTAGGAAAAAGAAGAAAAAAAAATTATATTTATCTAAAAGTAGATTTGATTTTACCAAAATTTTTTGGTGGTGTGTGTGTGTTATTTATTTATAATTTTCTTCTTCCTGATTGGAACTGTAAAATCGCATGACCTCATCTCTCGCAGCATCCTCGATATCTCGTCTGCAGGGATTAGAATTCCAATTGACACTAGGACAACCGAGTAACTCGAAACAGTTTAGGAGACGATTCGTGTTGGTTGGACAGCATTGAACAACAGCCCAGACGCAAGGGTTAGGACCGTTCGTTGTATTTCTAGAAATTGATGGAAATTGAGCCATCTTTATACTCGGACTGTTTTGATCCTGTTTAACAAAAATTTTTAATATATTATATATGCGAATAAAGTTGAAAGTTATATTTAACTCAATATTATTTTACTGTAATAAGAAAAAATGAAAAGATTTTCACACAATCAATTTAAAAAACATTTGTAATCGTCAATCTTCGTGAACTTTTAGAAAGTGTCTATTGAAACGTATTGAAGAACGTAAAAGTTACAACCCGGTGCACCGATCTAAAGTTTCAATCGTTTATAGTTGTATCAACGATTAGGTATATATCGAACAAGAAGGAAGTAGGTATTACTTTGACGGACAAATGGGTTAGCTTACCGGGAATATAAAACTGCTTCTCGAATTGAACGTAGGATAAGAAGGAGAGGATCCTTCTTTGCGAATTATTATACTTGCACTAACTGGTAACGCGTTCAATCTGGCTTCTTCTTGCCTTCTATGTTGACTTGTCATAACTCTTCTGTAATTTTCTCTGTCCCATTGAGTTTTAGTTCTAAAAATCGTTTAACATTAGTTAAGATTTATACCTTCGATTAATTCAACGATATGCGATCGTATGCACAAAAAGTAATTTTTTAATATATTATCTAATATATTATTAATACCTGTTTTCTTGTTGCTGCCTTCGTATGATTTCTTGCCTTCTTCTTTCTTGTTCCTCCCTGATCCTTTGTTGTTCCCTTTGCCATTCTTTCGTTCGTTCCCTTGTTCTTTCAGTATCCCTTCTGTCGGTCAAAAAAGCCGGTGCTGATGTAACAGGATTCTCTCTGACTCTAACCGAAACTTCAGAACGTCTTCTCTGATCCTCGATAGCCTGTTGTCTTCTTCTTTCTTCTTGCAGCCTGATATTTTCTATCCTCTTTCTTTCCTCTTCGTATCTTCTCGATTGTGCTCTTCTGTTATCAATTTCTCTTCTACGTTCTTCCTCGAGCATTCTACGTCTATTTACTTCTTCCAATTGTCGTTGATATTCTTCTTCCTCTCTTCTTCTAGCCTTGTCAAAGGATACTCTAGGATCAATGTAAGTCGGTGCAGATGGACCGTGCTGTCTTCTATCATATCCCGAACTTAAAGGGTATCTATTCGATCTATTCATTTGCCTGATAGCTTCGATCCCTTTTCTTTGCTCTTGTGCCTCAATCCATTCGTTTCTTCTTTGCCAATCGGATCTAACCTCGACCGGTTGATTCCTCCTAACGTAATCTTGCAACTTTCTTTCTTCCTCCTGTTTCCTTCTACGTTCTTCCATTATTCTTCGATATTCTTCTTTTCTTTGCCTGTCGTCGTCATTATCGTCATGTCGCGTTACGTTTTCTCTACTTCTCCATCTCGCTATTTCCATTCTCCTTCTTTCTTCCTCCTCCAATCTGTGTCTCCTCCTTCTTTCTTCCTCCATCATTTGCCTTCTTCTTTCATAATCGTATAATCTTTGCCTTTGTGCAGCACGATTACGTTCCTCCTCTTCCCTACTTACGTTTCTAGTTCGATCCACCCAATTCGATGGTGCAGGTGATTCCATTCTCCTGCGTTGCATTTCCTCGTATCTTCTTTTATTTTCTTCCATTTGTCTTCTTCGTTCTGCCTCTTCCCTATTTTCTTCCTCCAATCTTCTCTTTTCCATCCATTGTCTTCGTTTTTCGTCATAATCTCTTCTGTCATTCGGTAATAAATTTCTTCGACGAAGTTCATCCTCTTGTCTTCTGGCTTCCTCGCGTTTACGCAATTCTTCCATTCTCATTCTATCCTCGTGTAATTTTCTTCTCTCTTGTTCCTCATATTTACGTAATAATTCCTCTTGTTTTCTTCTTTGTTCTTCCAACAATCTTTCGTAGTCTTCTCTAATTTTATCGATTTGCGTGTTAACAGTATCGCTAGTTTGTTCCTTTTCTTCTCTTCTTCTATGTTCAACTCTGTTTCGTCTTCTTTGTTCGGTATCCAATTCGTCGCTGGACACTACACCTTCGTCCATCCCGTAACCCCATAAACCGGATTCCCTATCTTCATTGTCAGTGTCGTGCCAAAGTAACTTTCTAGAAGGACCCTTGTAATTCGAAACGTATCCACTCGTTTCTGTATCCCCTGATCCCGAACTCCTTTCCCTTCTAACTTTCGTCTCGTTATCCCTTTTAATCGATCTCACCGATGGTTCACTCCAATTGCCAAGGTCACCCCTTACTGGTAACTTCTCGTTTCTATCCTGAATCAAAAAATCATCTAACGTAGCATCTATATCACCGCGATTCTCTTTATTTTTCTTTGGCTCGTTTTCGAACTTTTTCAGTTTCAAAAGCTCGTCCATTTCTTCGTAACTCTCGGCGGATAAATCGTAATCGAGATTAAGAGATATCGGTACTACGTTTAAAGGAACAGGAGGATCGACCTTTCCTTCTTCCCCACCGTTTCGTACGTTCGTATTATCGACGGATCTTTTTAGTTTGATAGAAGGAGACGAAGAAAAGGAAGAAGATGAAGATGAAGATGAAGATGAAAAGGACGAGAAATAGGGGGAGGAAGCGCCAGTAGCACCAGCAGTACCAGTAACAGCAGCAGCAGCTTCGAGACCCTCGCAACCAACTTGTAACTCGGGCACGCCTCCTACCCCGAAACCTTCGACGCTAGTCGGTACTTCCGACCTTAATTCCCAATCCAAGAAATTCGATCTACCGTGAAGGTCCTTTCCGTCCTTATTGCTCTTACCGCTCGTAGTCGTCGTAGTTATCATCGTTGACTTGAACGACCCGTTCGACGCTTTACCAAGCTTCCAGCCGTGACGAAAACTTTTTTTCGGCACTTTACTTTTGTTATTACTCGTTTTTATCGTCACCGATGTAGTTGTAGTCACCGGTGTTGGTATTGCTGCTGCTAATGATCCCGTCAAAAAATTTCCTACCATTGTTCCCTCCTTTACATTCGACATAGGACCCACTCGAGGTTTCTTCTCCTCGAACAAATCCAATTTGTATATTTCTACGGAACCAGGACCCTCGTCCTTAAATGTTTCATCCGCAACGAAGGGCTCGTCGTCCATTTCGCTTGGCGGAACTACGTAATCATTGTTACTACCTTTATTATCATCAAATACTTTTCTACCAGACAAATTTTTAAATCTTTCCTTATTGTACTGCGGAACGTTCATTCTTGACAAGTCTCTCGAGATCGTTGCTCCGTTATTATCCTTATCGTAAGCTTTCATTCTTATCGGATAATCTAAAAGAAGTTTACATAATTAGTGACTATATTCTATCTCCTTTTCTCTTAGGATAAATCCTATAGATCTATATATGTTCTGTTTTCAAATCACCCCCATTCTAAAGAAGTTTTCACTTAAAAAAAAAAAAATATCATGCAATAGGGGAATAGTCTAGAACGAATAGATTTGGACTAGCATTCTAGTCTTTAGATTAATCGAACCGACAGAATTAAATCGCTGACGTAACGGAAAAGAGAGAAAGAGATAGATATATATATACATATCTGTATATTCGATGGATTGGCAACACCTACCATTGGCCGAGATCGAAACGATCGAATCCTGTCGATTATGACGATCATCGATCGATTGATAGGTTATAGAATCGTCCCCGAACTTCTGGTTAACCAGGTACTGTCCCTGTTGCAAACCCTTTTGTTGCAGTTGCAGTTGCTGTTGTTGTTGCTGCTGTTGTTGTTGTTGTTGTTGTTGATGGTAGTAATCGTTTTCGTCTGAGTTTCCGTCGTTGTTGCTTCTTCTTCCGTAAAACCCGAATAGTCCATGGTGGTACAGGGATGAAGAAGGGGAGTATTGATCGAGGGTGAGGTGGGTGGCACGGAGAGGATTGCTCGTGGCTTCACCCACCACACCCTGCATCACCATCAGCAAGGCCGTGGCCAGAGCTACCACCGTTGCTGTTACCACTGTCACCTCCCCCCCTCCTCTTCCTCCTCCTCTTCTTCTTCTTTTTTCCATCCTTTTTCCTACGATCAAACGGAAAACCCTTCTTTGTTATTTCTCATTTCTTTTCTTTCTTTTTTTCTATGCAATTTCTTGCTTTCTTTTTCTTTTTTTTATTTCTTTTTATTTTTTCACTACCCCTTTTCAACCGTTCGCGTTACGATCGATCGTTCCAATCCTATCAATGTATATTCTACGTAATACAATATTTTTCAGCAATTTGCGTATCGTTTGTTATCGTTATATTAAATATTATTATTATTATTATTATTATTATTATTATTATTATTATTATTATTATTATTATTATTATTATTCGTGAGAAATATAGACGATAGATTGTACTAATTTAAATATATTCTGTATATTCATTTATTGTTTTCGATAAGAATTGTACAAAGGTAACTGGGGTTGGAAGGGAAAGGGAAAGTATAATTCGATAAATCAAATATAGATTTACTCTGGCGAGAGAAAACGGTAGTGAAGATAATAGGTCTGTGAATCTTTCATTGAACATTTAACAGGCCACCGCGTGCCACAAATTTATCGTTTCGTGTGTTAACGTCTCGCCTAAAACCAAAGGGGAAAAGGAAGAAGTAACAGAACGATACTAACATAAGTTCTGGATTACTGTATCGCGTTGACGTTTTTACGGTTGTAATATATTTTATGTAATATATATATACTTATGTAATGTTGAAAATTAATTGGATATAACCTCCAGAAGCCAACTAAATCATACTCGTTGAAAAATTGCATTTGAGAATTATATTTTTCAAGTTTTTAAATATTATAATTGAAGAATTGGAAAACGTATCGACATGTGTTATAATTAAATTCATTACCACATCTGGAATATATGAATTTTTAATTATTATTGAAATAAAGTATTATTTAAATATATTTCTTCGCCGCGTTTCATCGATTTTCGTTCGCTTTTTTTGAATTCACTCCCATTGTAAAGAAATTTTCACTTGAAAAGTTTTCACTTTAAAAAGAAAAAACCAATCAGATTCATCAATTCGCATTTTACGATCGATTCTTCTACGAGATCGTAACTTTGATCTAATTTATATGAAGATGTCTATATATGTGAAGTTAAGATTATCTAGAATGGTATCGCATGGTATGTATCACGATATCTCCTTGGTCATAATCTCCTAAGGTAGGCTAGGTAGACCGCGGAATTACCGTTATCGTGGTATAAACCAAAAGCTCTCTGTTCTCCCCTTTCCACCCCCATCCTCCTTTCACTCTCTATCTATCCATCTATCTCTCTCTTGCACCTCTACCTCGCATATTCCACCTTTCGCGAATATCGATCGCACGAACCACTCTCTCTCTCTCTTTCTCTTACCACTCAAAAGGGCGTGTTTCTCTTTTAAGCTTGTCGAATTCACCTGTCGTTCACTTTCAACTCGTTTTCATTTTATGAATTACACTCTTTAAGTTGTTRTTGTTGTCGTTGAACGTAAGCAAAAGTACACAAAATACTATTAAACAGTATTAGTAATAAATTAATGAGAATGTATATTAAAAATGAATTTCACTCATTAATCGTAACTATTTCTTTTTGAATAGTATGCAAGACGGATAGTTCGAATGATCTTGACACACTGACGTGTGCCAACGTCAAGTGACTAAACTTAATTCTAACGTGTGGTGATCGTGCCAAATACATATAAGAAGGAAAACTGCATATATAGTTCCTTCTCTTCTTCTTCTTTTGTTCCTTTATATTAATGTCATGACGTAAACCACGTGTCGAAGTTCGTAGTTAATTAATTAGAAACAATTTCAATATCAATTGTTTACAATCCTTCCGTCTTTATGCATCTCTGTTTCTTTATATGTATATTTCCTTTTTGTTCATCTGCACTTAGTGACATCACAAATAAACGATAAAAATCCTCTTCAATTGACCCTCCTTTGCTGGTGTCATCAAGGATAGTTTGCTATTCGTTATCATGGTTACGTTCGGTATATCAACAACGTAACGTAGTACACACACGCGATTTGCTTGGAAATTCTCATATATTAGGGAAGAAAACGTGACTAGAGTGATATATGCACGCATATGTCTTGCTTTCGATTAACTGACAGAGAAAAATCAAGGACGTCGTAATCCTTGATTCGTTTTTATAACGCATGTAAAACAATTCATTTTTTTTCTTTTTGCAACTGTCGCGCTTAATTATGATCGATAGAAAAAAATGTAAATTCTTTTTCGAATATTGATACGAATGTTATATTTTAAATTGCATTGATCTCGTAAATAAACTCATCAATAAAAAGATCACGTTTAAAGCATACGCAATAAAAATAGTATAGAGATACTCTCTTTCGAGTATCGATATCTAGATCGAATTTCGAGTTAACTAACAGTTTACAAAGATCGCGTGTGACTTGTTTGATTTCAAATTTCATAGGTGAAATTTTTGGTTTGAACTTTAGCATCACACGGTAATAGGGATCTCCTATTACTCATGTTGTTTTAAATCCTCGATTACGTTTGCTGAAATTGGCCCATCACTGGGTATATCGAAGCTAGGTTAATTATAAACACTACTACGCGCAAATTACAGTCGTATTATTAATAAACAGATATCATATAGAGGATATTTATCGTTTATGTCTGATGTCATTTTATATTATATTTATATAGAATTTGTATAGAATATTTCTAGTATTTATCGTGAATTCATACATTGAGAATGTATTATCCCAAGGATTCATTATCTCGTGAGTTAATCGTCATCGTCATTATCATGATCGAATTAATTCGAAGCACGAGCAATCTTAATTACACGACATTAAGATACGATCCTCTTTCGGTTGGGTAGAAGGTACATTTTACTTGGACCAAAAATATATACCGTGTGCTTCTAGGTAGATAATGGTATTTAGCGTTATGGTGTATCGATCCAGTCGACTTAATCGTACAAATTGTCATGGACAAATTCATTCCTTCCAACGGAGTTTCATTACTATTTAGATTTTTATTTGTTTGAAATAATTGTACAAATGTTTTTTAACAAATGCTGACCCAATAAATACCAGCTTCTTTTTTTTTCTTTTTTTTTTATTCACCTCACATACTTTCAGAACACAGTAATACGAAATAGTTTTTCACCTAAAGTGCTAAAACTTTTCTTTTAGACCTAAAACTCTTGGCAAAGAGGAAATGGATGTGCTCATGTTCTATACTCTCTCTCTCTCTCTTTTTATCTTTTTTATTTAAATCATAGATTTTGTTGAAACCTAGATACTTTTCTTTTTTTTTTTTCAAATAGATAACGTCAATTCTTCCTTTTCTTCTTCTTTTTCTTTTTCTTTTTCTTTTAAACGGTAGGGTCAATTCGTGTGAGATAGGTTTACCTTGATCGACACGCAAAGCATATTTACCCAAACGTACAATGCATTCCGTTTGAACTGGATACCAGAAGAGAATCGTAATGTATCTCGTTGATCTCAATCGTGTACAAGCTGGCTGCACCCGCGAGATATGTATGTACAACCTATTCGTAATGGTTTCGCGAAATTGCAACTCACCGATAAGCTCAGATATCGATCAGATATAATCACGTTTGTTTATTCATTGGTTGTTTTTCTTTTTCTACTTTTTTCTTTTTTTTTTTCTTTCCTCTCATTCTCTCGTTCTCCCATTTCTCTCATTTATTTCAGCAGCGCCATGATGGTGGTGGTATGCGATTAAAAAGTTTTAACTACGTTCGTGTTTTTTACCGATAAGACGATACGATGTTACTTAGCATCTTGTTGTATTCCTTTACTTTCCCTATAGGTTGTAGGTAGGCAGATTTAGGGAAGAACTTTAATTGTTATTTCATTGTAAGCATTAATTGGAAGGACGACGGGAACCCGCACGTTTCTATGTGTTAGTGATTATACGATTGAAATAACGGATATACTTTTCGTAATTAGCAGGTACCCATCGCGACGACTCCCGGGCACTAATCCATTTCCTCGGTACTCGGGTTGGCCCGGAAACTCTGCCAGCAAATTATATCCTGGTCTAAGTGCTCGTCCTACAACTGCCTCTACAAACCCCATTCCGAAGGTACTCGAAAGAGAGAGGAAAGGTAGAATCTTCCTCTCGTCCTATACACTTCGCGTCTCTTTCATAATTCAACGAAAAGTAGATGGGGAGCTAAGATATTTGAACTTAATTACCCTTTTTGCGGATTTAGCGCGAAAGATTTTTCACGAACTTTCGTTAAATATCTCCTACTTTCTTCTTTATGCTCGAACTAAATATTATCTTCATTTTTTGTATTTTATTTTATGTATTCTTCCAATATGAAACTGTCATACATCAAAGTATTTGTATATAGGAAAGAGGCCAAGAGAGAAGGGGTTGTCACAGGTTAACAAATTTCTCGTCACAGAAAGATAATGAGAAACGTTTGAGAATGTGAGGACACAGGGACCACAAATTATGGGATAATTATAAATGAAAATGTATTAGTATCGAGACGTGTCAGGCGTCAGCCTCGAGTGTCTAGCACCGATATCACGTTAGTTGCGAGAGACCGAGCAAAATAATTAGACCGACCCCCTTTCGCAAGTATTCAACGTTCACATTTCTGTGTGTGTGTGTGTGTGTGTGTGTGTGTGTGATTACGTGGTTACACTTACACTTATACGTAAGTACGTTTAAGCCAAGAGGAAAGCCTATTTCAACCAACACCTAAACGGATAACTTACGGCCTTTAATAGTTGATTTAGAAATGCATTTTAAAGGTCGGTGAAGAAGATTCATCGAATTAATCGCTCAAACGCGATTTAATTAGCCACAACAACGCGTGTGTATATATAAAATATTCCTATAAAAAGGAAGAGGAAAAAGATTGAAACAATAATTTATCTACTTTTCATCTGTCCAGGAACAAGCTCATTTGTTCACAGATTAAACGCCTGATTTCTTGCGTTTCTGGGCTGAAGTAAAGTGACGTTTTTTCTTTATGCACGCAAACCTATGTATATATATACATATATACATATATTTGATATAAAGTGAAGGATGAAACAAGATGAAGAATAGGAAGAAGGGTTGAAAAGCTTGTAAGAAATTACGTAAGGAAATTAATTATCGAAATTACTCGTAGAACACAGTCTAGAATACACGTGGCCTGCATAAACAAGCGTCTCGTTCATTACGCGATAAGAAATATATTTCCCGAGGCAGTAATTAAACGTGAAATAGCTTCTCGTCGTCGTCGTAGTGTCGTACATAAGTATATATATATATATATATATATATATATATATATAAGTATAATATGTAAATACGTATCACGGTGTAAGTATGATGGTATGTATATATATATTGATATATATTGATTCATTTATAATATTAATTCAATTATACACAAAATAACTAGAGATTGTTTTGGGAAAGTATATTGAAAATAATTTGATTATATGTAGAATAAAATTTGTAGTTTTATTATCTAATAGTTAAAAGGTAATTTAAAAAAGTCTCTTGATAGAAGATAATTTATTTTAAGAACTACTTTATAGTAAATTTATTTATTTTCTATCTTTCGATAGGTTGAAATGATCGAGACGTATTGTCATTAACGAATTAGAACATTCTAGTAAGTAGTTAAGATCTCTTGGGAGAGATATACTGAAAGATACGTAATGGTGTTCCGGTGCATAGCTTTACTAAAGTACTTCGAAGAGATAGAGAGAGAACATCGAACCTTATCGTGCATTAAAACGATTGGCAATTAAAATCAATTAAGTATATCTATTACTACTAGACACACCTTTACCTTTCAAAAAAAAAAAAAAAATACGAAAATAAAAACAACAAATGTAATATACCATAGTACATGGAATCCAATTTCGTTCTGGAACTCGATCCTAATATTTGTTCTTGCTATATTATTACAAATGAAATGAACATTTACTTTCCTATCAAATTACTTCTTCTAAAATTGGTATAATTAATTTATTGATATATTATTTTCAAGATAGATAGTAGATTTTTGTTGGTTTCGTACAACGAGTTAACGTAGCTCCTATGTTGTGGTGATGGTGGTGTAAAAAACCATGTTTCGTACAAAAATTACCCGTGGAAATGTTCATAGTGTACAGTGTTATAGTGTTTTAGGAGGGAAAAAGAGTGAAAAAAAGGAGAGAGAGAGAGAAAAAGTGTAAAAAATCTCTGCTCGTTTGAAAGATAGCCTCGTCGTTTTTATCCCTCGATAAAATTCACTTTAGTCATTCCGTGGTTCTAGGATTATGGATAATACCATAGATACAATACCAAAAACACATTTTCCATAAACGTTAGTTGATCGTTCGATCGATCAAGTATTATATCTTTTTAATTTTTTTCTTTTTTTTTTTTAATCGATATTCGAGATAAAAGATTTTTTCTTATAACATAGACAATAAACAATTTATTTTCCAAATGTATATAGATCATTTTTATATTATAATAATAATACTATTACTTTTTAATATTATATTATATATTGTTCATTAATAATAAAGGGAAGAAACACTTTTGTCAGAAATTTTTCGCATGAAATCCAAAATATAATTGGGTTTATCGTAGAGGGTTAACTTTCTCTCTCAGTTTCCCTTTTTTTCTCTTTTTGTAACAAGCATCATTTATTTTTCGTAGAGAATATAAAACGATAAAG